ACGCTTACACATGCGTATGTTAGCAACCTGGTGCTTTGTTTCCTCCGTGCCTTTAGCTGCTGTCCATGTCTTTTGCCCTTCCTCAGTGACCAAGGGAATTAAGCTATGCGTAAAGTGGGAACAAACAGGACCTAAAGGCAGGAGGCTGTCAGAAGTTTGAGAATTGGGCTTCACGGCACCTACTCAGAAGGATCAGGCCCCCACCTCTGCTGTGTTCCAAACATGTGAAGCCCCAGACAGAGGATACAGGTTAAATGCCTGTGGCCTATCCGTTGGCTCAGGCAGCACAGCCTCCAGCCCTCTTTCAGCAGGGAGGGAAGGGAGATGTCGCCACCCCAGCCCCCACCGAACACTCTCCAATCTCTGGAAAACCAGAACTGAAGAAGGCCAGGAGAGCCAGCCACCAGGCGTGCGGGAGTGACAGTGGTTTTGCTGGTACTGTTTTAAATGTTCTCACATATGCAAAAGGAGAACTGGGAGAAGTAAACATTTTGAGGAAGGTGGAGTGGCGACACAAGAGGTCTCTCCCTCAGCACAGGGACACCAACTGTGGTCTGTTTCCTTTAGAAACATAATGTCTTTTAGGTTAACATAGTAACTCCACAACAGATGTAACCAACACCTATCAACCCTGTCAATACCACCACCAGGTCTCAGTCCTACAAAAATGCCAGCTCCCCTGCACCAAGACACACACACATCAGGGTCCACTGCTACACAACTGCTAATAGCAAAACACAGAAAAGGCAATGAAGCTGTCCTTTCAATAAGTGAGGGGTTAAGTAAGTTACGGTTCAGCCATGTAACCGCATCTTGGAATACCATGCAGCTGTGAAAAAGGGTGAAGATGCCTCATTTAAAAGCAACACACAGAACAAAATGCCAGCAGTGGGATGTTTGCTAGGATCCTATTTATGTACGTTTCGAAATGTCTATGTGGATACGCTTGTATGCATACATGCAAATCCCTCGAAAAGGTCTGTAAAGAAATGCACCAACATGGGGTAACAGTGGTTTGGTGGCGGTGCAGCCTGGCACCTCCCATGCCGCATACACTTCTGCACTGTTTGAGGAGTTTCACAACTAGCACCACTGGCAACCTGAGGGTGTAAGAGGGAGGGGCAGGAGTGCTAAGCCACTGGCCTGTGCGTGTCTCTGTATGAAGCACAGGCTACCAACAAGCCTGGCTTGGCCCTGGGTAAAGGAGATCCCACACAGATGCCCTCTGCTCTGCCAGGCAGCAGCATCAGGGAGTACTTGCAGGTGGCCAGGGAGCATCGTGCTTGGAAACAAGGCTCTAAAGCCAGTGTGTGCTGGGTGAGGGATCATCTGTCAGGATCAAACCCTGCTTCTGTGGGTAAAGATAAATTTCAGGTGAACCCCACCCAAATTATCACAGGAAATGGCTGAGAGAATGTGATCTGATTCTGCTTCCCGCTTCCACCCCAAACAGGGCCAGGTGACCAGGAAGATGCCTCAGGCTCTGTGGGAGGACGGGCTGTGCAAGGCACTGTGCCCACCTTTCCATGGGGCCCCCAGAGCCCAGAGATGGCCCAGCATGCGGAAAGATGTTTTGGCTCCAGCACTGAAGGGAAAACAGGGTATAGAACAGTTTTGAAAACAATTCTTTGTGGGAACAAATAGGTAGGAATGTATTCAGGGTTTCTTTGCCAAGAAAGACCAAGTGGCCATTCTGCTAGGGGCCTGCCAAGTCTCCCCATTCAGGACAACAAGCAGGACTCTCCAGAGGCAGGATCTGGGGAACAAGTTTGCCCTTAAGAGTGCCCCCGCCTGACCTATCTGGAGTAAGTCCTTGAATTTCTGCATCAAAGCACCTCAGGCTCCAAGAAAGTCTGTTCCTGGTCTTGCTGTCCCCCAAGCTCCTGTTAGCAAACTTTCCAGGCCTAGGCTGGGGAGTTCTGATTGGCCAAATAATAAAGTAGCATGAGCTGCAGAGATGCTTTTCTTGGTTTTGTGTTATTATGCATTTGTTATAATATCGACAATTACCTAAATGTGACAGAGGCCAACGGGTCCACAGGATGCCTTCTGGGATGTGGGAGTGGGAGTCCACACTGCCACACGGCTAACCAGGACTGAAAGCTCTTAGCAAGCAGCTGTTCAGAGCTAGGGGTGGGAGATCAGAGCACAGCCGCAGCCGACAGACCACAAGTACTCCAGAGTCAAGGCTGACCCCTGCACTTCCCAAAGAGTCTTCACATACTTGACCTCATTTCCCTGAAGACTTTCCAGGTGGTCAGGGCAGACATCACTGAACTGCAGGGAGATCTGGGAACCTGTCCCCGGTCACACAAAGGAACAGCACAGAAAAGCTGGCTACCTTCCTGGTTTTGGCATTCATCCTCTGCCATGAAATTACTGTGGGTCCAGGAGATGCAGGAAGGGGCTCGAGGGCACCTTCCCGCGTCTAATGGAGTACAGGGCCGGGCATGACCTCCGTCACTGACTGCAGAGACCCCACAATGCTGCTAGAGGCCCACAAACCACAGACACCTCATTGCTGTAGCAAAGCCATGCCCTCGTGGCCTGCCTTCTCAGTCATTCCTAAGGCCAGCCTGGGTTCCCCCCTTCTGTGAGATGCTCCCCTTCTCCCTTGAAGAACACCAGTTACTTAGGCTCTGCACACCTGGTCAGGGGCTGGAAATGGGCTTCCCAGGGGTGCCTCCACCAGATACTGAACGAGACTCCCTCCAAAGGCAGGTTTCTGGGCCGTGCAGCCCTCATAATGAGTCATCTGGGGTACCGGTTAAAATGCATTCCCAGGTGCAGACTGGAACTGTATGTACGAGATCAGCATCAGGGGCCTGGAAATCTGCATTCCTTCCAACTCCCCTCCAACCCGCTGCCGGAGCCCTGTGCACTCCCAACTCAAAGGCCGGCATCCGCCCTGGAGGTAGGACTTCTGATCTCTGCACACGTGAAGGGGTGGAGCAGTTTCTCTGCTCCAAGAATAGGTGTTGTAGGACATGCAGGCACTCAAAGGGTTGGTTCCATTCTCTTTCGCCTGCCTTGGGTTTCTAGAGGCTCGGAGGAAACTGGCCCCACCCACAGCAGGAGGCCCGGGACTCCAGAGCCCCTGCACCAATCTTCTAGTCAAGGGGCTTGCGCGCGGGCCAGAGCCTGAAGCGGAAGGTGAACCCACCAGGAAGACATCCCAGGGCGGGGGCCCTGCTGAGCCAGCCCTGACCACAACTGTGAGCCCCTTCCCTCGGCCACCCCCTCCTCAATTTCCAGCTACGGGTGCTGCAGGGTGGAAGGCCACCCTGACAGGGGCTGTAGAAAGAGTTCCCAAACGTTAAGTATGCCGCCTAGCACAGGCATCATCGCCCAAAGCGGTTCTCAACTCCAGCCACTCCCCAAGTGCTGCCCCCACCCGATACTCAGGGTCCACCAGGATCCGAGCCTAGCCTGGCCCCTCCCCCAGGGCCACACCCACCCTGCAGCAGCGCCTCGGGCTGAACTCTGGGCCCACAATGACCCTCACTTCCAACCTAAACCCCCACACCCTTAACTGACGCATAATGCCTAGAAAAGGCTCCACTCTCACCCTCTACCCCATCACCTGCCACGTGGTTTGGGGCGGCCACAGGACGGGTTGGGAGGCCGAGTACAGCCTTGGGGAGGGGGAGCGAGGAGGCGGGGTAGGTGGGGGCGGGAGTTAGTTCGAGATCCGAAAGCCTCACCTGCAGACCTCGGGCCCTTTCAGTTCCAAATGTACCGGGAAAAAGTGGCCTTCAACTCTAGGGTCTCCACGGCTGCAGCTTTTTTTTGTGCCTTTTAATCACTATATGAACTATTTGATAAATAAGAGACCACTACCTTTGGTCACAAGGTAACAGTATTCAGTACACCGGTTTTGAGCCTGTCCCCAAGGTAAAAGAGGTGTCACAGAAGAACTCACGAGAGCTCAGGGGAAGCAGACAATTCTTCACACCAAAATGGGGAAGGACGATAGCCATCCATTAAAACGTGCTCATCTTTGTGTTAAAAACGAAACAAAAAAGGGGAGGAGAGGAAACCGCCGCAGATGAATCAACCACAAAATACCAGGCCGCGCGTGGGAACTGCTGCCGCGGAGCTGGCGGGGGCGGGCGGTGGTCCCCAAGCTGGAGGCTCAGTGCCCGCCCTCGCGCAGGTGCCGCCCGCCCGCACCGGCCCAGGGCAAGTGAGAATTGGGTAGGCGAGAGGACGGCACCGACGACTGGCAGCGGCCAGGGCGCTCCTTTCGGGACAGAGCCGCGAGGCAGAGGAGCCCTGGGGCCGGGCCCGCCCCCGCCAGCCGGATGGGCGGGGGCTCCCACTAAGAGCCGCAGGCGGGGAGCGGGACCCGGGACCGCCCCCCGCGTCGCCCAGCGCCGCCGCGGACTCTGGTTACGACAAATTAAACCTTAGAGAGCTGGAAAAATTACAGGAAGAAGAGAGCGAAGAATGTGCCGAGTGGCTAAGGGAGCCTTGTCCCCGCGTGAACTTCGCCCGCCGAGCGCCGGGGCCGGCCCCTCCCCTCCTGAGCGCGCGCCCGGCGGCGGAGGAGGAGACGAGGACGGACATGGGAGAGCGGCCCCGGCCCCCACCCCCGTCCCCGTCCCCGGGCGCCCCACCATCACGAGCGCCGCCTCCGATCCCCACCCAGGCCGCCCGCACCTGCCCGCGCCGCCCCCGGCCAGGCGGAATCCCCGCCCCCTCCCCCGGCCCAGAAGACTACAGCCGCCCCCGCGGCCCCACCCGAGCGCGCCCTGGGAGGGGGCGTGCCCGGCGGGGGCGCGGTCGCCGGGCAGGCGCCGGCTCCGAAAACCGGGACCCGCCTGGCGCTGCGCGCGGGGCCGCCCGCCGGTCGGAGCGACCCGGGAAGGGGCGAGGCCCCGGACGTCCCGGCCTGCCGGGTCCCCACCTCTCGCCTGGCCGGCGGCTCCGGGGGCGTGGTCGGGCAGCTCGCGCCGGACCCGTCCGCGCACTCCGGGCGCCCGCGCCGCCCCACTGACCTGTGTGAGTTCTCAGGTGCGCCTTGAGGTGCGAGGATTTCCCGTAAACTTTCTCGCAGCCCGCGTAGTGGCACTTGTGCTTCCTCTGAGGGGACTCGAGGTCCGCGCGACTCCGGCCCCGCCGGCCCCTTTGTCTGAGACCGGGCTCGCTGCTCCCTACGGGCCCCGGCTCCCGCTCGGGCTCCAGCCCCGCCTCGGTCTCCGGCTCGCTCCACGCCGGGCTGGGGGGCGCGGCCGCCGCGCCTTCGGCGCCGGGTGAGGCGGGCTCGGGGGCAGGCGGCGGCGCGGGCGGCAGGCGGCAGGGGGTCCTCGCCTTCCGGGCCGCGGCGCCCTCTCTGCGCTCCGCTGGGGCCGGCGCCGGCGCCTGCTGGTTGAGGTCCGCTAGGATCCGCGCCACCACGAAGAGCGAGGCGCTGTCCTTGCCGTCGCGGCGGTCCTCGACGCGGGGCAGCGTGGGGGTGGCGGCCACGGCCGCGCCCTCGGGCCGGGACTCCGGCCCCTCCCGCGGCCCGTGCACGACCGCGCGGCTCGACATGGACACGAGGCACTCGGCGGCGAAGTGGTCCACATAGGCGGTGGCTGCCATGCTGCGGGCTGGGGCCGGCGGCGGTGCTCTCCCTGCGAGGCGTCAGCCGCGCATCCGCACCCACGGCCTCGGGAGAACGGGCGGGGGGCGGGGGCGCGGCGCGCCCTCTCCTCGGGCTGGGCTGGGCTGGGCTGGGCTGGGCTGGGCGCGCAGCCGCCTCTGCCGTCACCCGCGCGGCTCCGCGTCCGCGAGGCGCCGGAGCGGCCGGACACCGAAGATCGAGAGCATGGGGTGCGCGGGCGAGTGGGGTCCCCGCGCGGCGTCGGGGGCTGCGGGTTCTAAGGATGCCAGTCGGCGACGTTAGGGACCACCGCGCTAAGTCGCGGCCGCAGCTTCGCCGCGCATTGTGGCAGGCGGGACAGCTGCCGTGCGCGCCGCGGCTCGGTGTGGGCGGCCCGGCCCCGGGGGTGGGCGGGGCCGGGGCCACATCTGGACCCGACGTCAGCCCCCAGCCACATCCTGGCGGCGCAGGTTACAGGCGGCCGCGGCCGCGGGGAGCTGCCCGGCCTGAGGGGGCGGGGAGCCCAGAGCGCGCACCGGCGGAACGGAGCGGTCGCGTGCCCGCGCCTTGGGAGGGGGCGTGGCCGAGGGCCAGGACGGACCCCATTGGCCCGTGAGTGCACTGCCAGGCCAATCCCGGCCGTTAGGGGGGCGTGCCTGGTCCCGGGGCCTGCGCGCGCCAGTGGGCGTGCCCCCTGGGCCGGAGGGAGGAGGGGCGGAAACTGGAGCGGGGCACGCTGACGCACAACGTCCGAGGGCGGCGGGCACTGGGAGTTGCCGCGCTGAGCTGCAGCCCGTACCTCCCGCGGCGGGGACACTGGGGGCACTTCCCTGGCGGAGCTTTTGTGTAGTGACAGCCTTGGTCTCCGGCGTGGAGAGGCGCGCTCTCTGGAGGGCGCCATTTGTCCCTCCCGCCCTCCCGCGAGGGGCGCGGGTGGGGAGGCGTGTCCGCCTGGGCTGGGCGCGGGGCTGCCTGGGGGCGGAACGCACTCGCGCCGCGCCCTCCACTGCTGGCTTCTCTGGTGGCCGCGCCTAGAGCCTCGGGCCGCTTGCCTGCCCCACGCCCTTGCCCTACCGAGCTCCTGGAGTCCGGGCGGGGCAGCTCCCGGGGGAGGGACGGGTCTTTTCGAGCTGGTTCCTGGAGGCCAGGTTCCGGGGTGCGGCCGCTTTGCCCTTGAGCTCGTGTCAGCCGGAGCAGGACTGGCCTCAGCTGGCGGTGGGCCTGGCAACCCGGGTGGCGCGCCCACCGCGGCCTGTGCCTCCAAAAGCGAGCTACGTGCCAGGGCGGCCGGCGCCGCTGCTGAGGGAACGCGGGGCCCCTTCCTCCCCCTCCCGCCCCAGGCCCGCTGCCAGCTCCTCTAGGCTGCCCCTCTCCCACCGCGGTCGGGGGGGCTTCAAACGCCCCCAGCTGCGAGGACCCCGCCCACCGCGCCCCACCCGCTGTCTGGGCCTCCCGGAGGAAATGCTCGGCTGCGCTCAGCCCGCGCCTCCCGGCTGGGGCCTGATCAACTTGCCCTTGACTCTCACCGGTAACCCCCCACCCCCGCCCGCGGCCACAGCCATTCTCCATGCCTAGGCCGTACCCAGAGACGCCGGTGAATAACTTCCCACCGCCTTGTAATCGGGCTCAGCAAACCTCCTACGGCTTCGCCCCGGTGCATTGTACTTAATGGACTGGGAAGCAGTCAGCCACCCCTGCTGTGTTCTGAGAGGAGCCGGGAGAATGTAGGAGCCTGGGCACTCACCCTCAGTGGACCCCAGCAGTGGATGAGGGGTGTCATTCTGCTCAAGTTCTCACTAAATTAATTTGGGGTTGGGACCCAGTAAGACTGCTTTTCGGATAACCGGCGGGGGACGGAAACAGCCATTCTAAATATGCATTTTATGGTGAGCAGCTAACTGCATGGGTGTTTGAGTACCCTCAGTGTCTGTAATTAAAACCCTAAAATGCGGTCTCACTGATTGAGTTGCTGGCCTCTGGGAGACTCTAAACGTGCTGGGCTGGGTCAGGTCCCTCTAGCAGGGTGTGGGCTTGACCAGAAAGTAATCATGCTTCTTCTAGGCAGATTGTGTTGATGACATTTAAGAGACGTGTGTCCTGACCAAGTAATGATTCGGAATGTTCCTTCATTCCCACCACGTGTTACAGTCAGTCACTTGTTAAGGAAGGAGTGGTCCTACGCCGGCTTATCAGCTACCCATACCCTCCTGGCCTCTTTCCAGCCATCAGAATTCTCTCCAATCTTCAAGGTTCCACGTCTCTCCACTGGGTCACCCCAGCCGGCATGCACAATGGTGGGCCTCCTAGAGTCGGCACTATTCTAGGTATTGGGCTACTACAGCCATGAACAAAATAGCCCTTCCTTGGGTAAGGGCATGCCCGGTGTGGTCAAGGGTCCTCTGTGCTGATGTACGCCCTCCAAGAGTTTCCTAGGAAAGTGGGTCCCAAAGGATTTTGACTGTGCCCTGTGGCACTCTGGAGACAAAACTCAGTCCCTTGGCTGCTTTCTCAATAATCCACTAATCAAGCATTTGATTATTGTTGTGGAATTCACCGACTTGATCCCAAACCCACATGGAAGTGTCTTCCATATAGACACAGTTCTCTTCCCCAGAGAAAATGTCCCCTTAGCTGAGACTCCATGCTTTCTTTGCTAAGTAACATTTTGCCAGAGATGGCCTATGTATATGTGAGGGCGGGGCCGTCTAATTTCAAATGGAAGCAACAGAAAAGCAGAGCAGGTGTGTCTGGGGAGTATAGAGACTAAAGGCTGAAAGGGTTGTTGAGTTTCTGGGTAAAGGTGGTGGATGGGTAGTATGTGTTGACTTTAACTTCCTTCTGGAACCTCTGAAACATTTGTTAGAAGGCAGAAATCCACAAAGACGGAGAACAAGAGAGGAAGTAACAACACAGTTTTTGAAGCTAAAATACTTAGCAGGTCCAAGAAAATGAAACCCCGAGATAGTAGCTAGGAAGGAGAGCTAAGAACATACACCGTGGAATCCCCAGAAGGTTAACGAATGGATGGCACTATGTACCACTATATGTGAGAGTAAAGGGGGGTGAAAATAAGATTGACTGGCTGAATGTCTGCTTGAGGAGCACTCAGATGCCCATATCTGCACCCCAATTTCATGCAACCTGACAACTGCCCCTTCCTTGTTCTGACAAAAAGTTGGATATTTATGACCTGAAAAAAGTAAAAAGCAGCATCTTGGGTGGGTGGACACCAGGCATAATTAAGGACAGTGGTACAGTAATAGGATCAGGGGATTCAACACACACATGGATATTGGATGCTGAGACCCACAAGCCCCTTTCTGGGACTTTAGAATGCAAGCAGCCAGGAGACTAGAAGGGTCTTTCCTGGGGGAGCCAGCCATGCCAAGGGAAACAGCCAGACCTTCTGACCTCTGTGGCTACCCAACTAAACAGGCAGCTCACCCTACAGGGAAGGCCACAGTGAACACTGCCACTCATGTTTACAGAGGTTCTGGTCGGCCTCTCAGTCCCTCCCAGGCAAATGCAAGCAGGCAGCCAGAGCTGGCCCAGCACCTCGGGAAAGCCTGTGTCATGAAGTACAGAGTTACAATGGATTTTTAAAAAGCAAGTCGGAAGAAAGAGACTATGCAGAGAGAAGTAAACGTCAACAAAACCATCAGTAATGTCATTAGATAAATTTTAAAAGACATCACCATCTGTGAAGGGGGAACATAGATAAAGAAACATTCAGGGGAAAAACAAAAAGTGTTCTTGAGATGTTTACTAGGTAGCAGAAATGTAAAAGAAAAAAACCTCCCTGAAAGTAGAACAACAACAACAACAACAACAAAAGATGGAAAAGAGCAAAGAAAAGTTTAATTAGTGGACCAACCAAAAAATTCATTGATTAGCTAATAGGGACCCCACATGATCAGAGAAAACACAAGAGAGAAAATCATCGATGAATTAATCCCCCAGAGACGTCTTCACGACATATGCCAAAAGGGAGAGAGCCCAACACAGGAAGAAAAATAGCCCTACACCAAGGCATAGCGTTGCTGAGTTTCAGAATGCAGGAGACAAAATGTCCTGACATTAAAACAGGTCACATACAGATAATCAGGGATCAGAATGACCGTGGGCCTCTCCACAACAACCAGTTGAAGCTGGAAGGGAACAAAGCCTTGGGAAATAAATGTGAAGGAAAATTATTTTCCAGCCTTCACCCAGTCAAACTATAAAGTATTTTTAGATGCATGAGGTTTCAAAAAATTTATCTCCCATGCGTCCTTTCTCATAGGAGGAAGACACCAGAGATTACACTTCATCAAAACGAAGATGTAAACCAAGAAGCGGGAGACGTAGTCCAGAAAGCAGGGAAGTCACTGCAGGATGGAAGAGAAAGGAAGTCCTAGGTGATAGCTGCCCAGCCAGATGCAGAGGGTCAGCAGCCAGGCTGGAGGAGATTGGCAGCTCCAGAAACACTTTAAGAGGTAGGATGGACAGAGTCACTGTATTAGTCAGGAGAGGCTGGGCCACACTGCAAAGCTCAAAGGTTTATTTCTGGCAATGCTGTGTGTTCATAGGAAGGCACCTGGGGATGGCAGGTTGATGGAGCAGTCTCTGTCTAGAATGTGCTCTTTGCCACCACAGAGGGCAAGGGAGAGCATGGACCCAAGGCTGTTACCCATCCCTTCTTTCCCACACACGAAATACATTTTCCCTGTCCCTGGGTGAGCCTGACTTTTCTAACGTGCCTTTTAGTCCGAGTCTAGAGGTCAGAGACCGAATAACAGGAATTTGAGGTGAGCGACATTCTCTGGCATCCAGTTCAAAGCCCAGAACCCCTGTGGGAGACACAGAGGCTTCTTCATGTGGTCCCTCTTGGTCTAGAGACCTACGGCCTAAAGATGAATTCTCTGGGTCCCCACTGCTCATACCCACACCCAATGCCGGAAGTGCAAAGAGACAGAATAACACAACAAACAGCCTAACTCTGAAAGGGGAGGAGAGGGAGACATTTGGTAGATAGTACCCATAGCAATCCTGAAACTGTGCTGGGCAGATACTGCCCCCTGCCCTAAAGTGAGACTAGTCCTTGAATAGCCTCAAATCCGCTTGCTCGGGAGTTTGGGGATGGGGCAGCCAGGGTTTTGCTCCACTCTGGGGCAGTTTTTCCTTTTGCAGTTATCCCCCTCGGCTGCACAGGAAATATATCCTTTTGCTTTTGCGGCTGAGCAGTTTTCTCAGCCCATTTTCTGCCTATAGAAAGTTGGAGACCAAGAGTTATTTTAAGTTCCAGCCATAGATGGTATTAATCCTAGTTCTGGGCACTTCTAGTTTCTCAGAAATTTAGTTACCATCTTACCTAGTCTGTTTGCTTCCACTTGGTTTCATTGTCAGTATCTGCTCACAGAACTTTTCAAGACATGCCTCTCTCTCAACTTGATTGCA